CTGTATGTGAGTCGGAACTGGCATCCGGAACTGATCTGGAAGCGCCGCGGGTCCGGCCCCGGGGCCTCCGCTGCTTTGCTCCCCGTCTCCCTGGTCTGCTGGCTCCCCCAGCAGACCAGGGAGATGGGGAGCAGCTTTTCTCGCTCCGGAGGAGGTGGGCAGCGGGACCAGGCATCCCGCCGCTCCTGTCCTCCGGGGCGAGAAAATCCCCGTTCGTAAGTGCGGATCCGACACAAGTCACTCGGATACCTAGGTGGGATGTGTTCTAAATCTCACAGACTCTGTTGTAAACATCACCTTTTGCACTCAGTGGTCAGTTCTTCTGTTCTGGCTCAACAGGGACCAACATCACATGGAAAGGCAGCCAGAATATTGTTGTGTGTGAAAGCAAAGAGGATTATAGAGTCATCAATTTTAAGGGTGTAACTAATCATCAGATCATATTATCTGACCTTCTGTATATCAAAGGCCTCTGAACCCAATAACTGAAATTAGGCCAAAGTATATACAACCTACAGGAGACTGAACTGTTGTGTGCCACAGGCAGAGAACAAGAGGAACTAATGTGCACCAATGATTGAGGTCTGCACAATGACAAGACATTCATTGAGTGAGATGTAACCAGTGATCTTAGCATGCACCCTGCAGTGTACAGGAGAACAGGCCACCCACCCTCCCCATAGGGTCCTTGCAAATCTGACTGGGGAATATTCTTTCCTAACCCCAGATATTTTGTACGCCGGAATATACGGTATTATATTAAGGCTTGGAAAATGTATTAATCTTTCTGAAGACATGACATCTTGAGTAAAACTCCACTTTTGGTATATCTAAGATCCTGTAGACTGTGCACCAGTGTATTCACATGGGCCAATTTACAGAGCAGTAATTATGTGGGGAAACTGCAAAATGTGAGTTTTGTTGAACTCTGAGTCATGCCGACTGAGGTACCCTTAAGTTTAAGCAACTTTGGGTAATATCAGTATATACTGCACTAATTTGTAACTGACATGTGAATTTATTTAAGTAGCAAATGGTTATTCTTCCATGCTTTTATTCCCTTAGTTTTGATTAAACAAGTAACCGTTTTTGGCTACATAAAGATTAAAGCTCCTGATATGTAAAGCTATTTAATAATAACACTTCTGTCTTTCTCACTCCTGCATTAACTTTTAAAGATGAGTGTCTGATTCAGGGTGCCACAGTATTTAAGTTATGAGTGACCAACACTCTGCTCTGGTTTTGTACTTGGATGTGAGGCACTATTGTATATTTAATTTCTGCTTAGTCTTGCCTGCCACCTGCTGGTGACACTTAGAACATCTCAATTTTCAAAGAGTTTTACAGAACCATAGAAAGGGGTTGCTGTAAAAACGCAAGGAACATTTTAAAAAAAGATGATGAAGATGTGAATTGACTCCCTCAGTGCCCAGCTTACTACTTATGTCCAACATAGTAGAAATTTTATGGCCTACAGGCATGTGCAGTGCATTCTTGGATTGTATGCAAATTACAGGTATCACATTAAAATGTACGAAAGGGGCTAATGGTAGGGAGGTTGTTGTAGCACCTTTAGTAAATTGTAAGAAACACAAATGTTATCTTGAAACTTTAATTAGAAAAATTTGAATTTTAAGCAAAGAAAAAGAGTATTTTCTGTCATACACTTTCTCAGGGAGAAAGACAATCTCCTTTTTTTTAAAAGAAGAATTCCAGACAAATATACAAGCCAGTTACTTGTTTTATTTCCTTCCTTTTTAATTGAAAAATTACAGAATCCTTTCGAAAACCTAAAAATGTCTGTTTTAGCATTTATTGTTTTTCTTAAAAGATCATTAATGTGCTATGATTAGTGCTGTTTTAAAGAAGAAGACGACTTGATCAAAGCACATTAACTAATTGTTAATGCATGTCAGGACAGTTATTCCATGGCAGGGTAATGTGGGGTAGACTCACGTCCCAGCTTACATTGTGATTTTTGGGATGTGTGTATGTGCATTTCTTAATTAAACAAATATAAATTCTCCACCAATATGTTTCTATGATTGTATCTTTGAAATGAAGAGAGAGAATTAATGAAGTTATTAATTCTGCCTTAGGAAAGGAAAATATGTTGAGGGCCTTTCTGGTCATTTATTCTTTACTTTTGGGTGTGTGTGTGTTTGTAGGGGAGTATAAATAGTGGGAAAATATACAAGGAAAATTAAAACTGAATTAATATATTACCCTCCCTTTATATTTTTCTCCATCTGTTGGTATTTCATAGAAGTAGCTTTCCTCTAAATTTTTACTTTTGTACTTATTTCAGATGACGGAGAATTGTATGTTTGGGGTAGCAACAAACATGGGCAGCTTGTGAGTAAAGAGGCTTTTCTGCTTGAGCCCCAGAAAATAGATGCCCATTTTTTCTCAGATGAAAAGATTGGAGCAGTCTGGAGTGGATGGACTCATATAGTGGCACAAACAGGTAAGAAAACTAAAAAGCAGCCAGAAATTTCAAGCAGGTTCTTAAATATCCAATGTATTCTTGGTTAAAAAATAATCTAATTTGGTCTTCTTCTCAGTTGATAGTGATGCACAGAGATGTTTTCAGATCAAGCTCTGTACAGTGATAATCTTCAGAAAGTGTGGGAATGGCCTTCTTTCCATCCAGAGTACTTCTGCTTCTCTGAACAATTAGTATGTTAAGAGTGTCTGGCTTATTTTAGATGCTTGTTGCTGCAAAAACACTGGCATACACAAACAGTTCAGATCACCAGATGATATAAAGGGGGTACACAGAGCCTTTGGCGAGGGACTTTGTCAAAGGCTTTCTGGAAATCCTAAGTATACTATATCTACTGGATCGCCCTTGTCCACATGTTTGTTAACCCCTTCAAAGAGGTCTAATAGATTAGTAAGACATGATTGCCCTTTACATAAACCATGTTGACTTTGCCCAACAAATTATGTTCTTCTACATGTCTGACAATTTTATACTTTACTATTGTTTCAACTATTTTGCCTAGTACTGGCGTTAGACTTACTGGCCTGTAATTGCCAGGGTCACCTCTAGAACCCTTTTTAAATATTGGCGTTATGTTAGCTGTACAGAAGCTGATTTAAAGGACAGGTTACAAACCACAGTTAATAGTTCTGCAATTTCACTTTGGGTTCTTTCAGAACCCTTGAGTGAATGCCATCTGGTCCCAGTGATTTGTTACTGTTAAGTTTTTCTATTGTTCCAAAACCTCCTCTAATGACACTTCAATCCGGGACAGTTCCTCAGATTCATCATCCACAAAGGATGGTGCAGGTTTGGGAATCTCCTTAACATCCTCAGCCATGAAGACTGAAGCAAAGAAACCATTTAGTCTCTCCACAATGGCTTTATCATCCTTGATTGCTCCTTTTGTATCTCAATCGTCCAGGGGCCCCACTGGATTTTTAGCAGGCTTCCTGCTTCTAATGTACTTAAAAAAACATTTTGCTATTACTTTTTGAGTTTTTGACTAGCTGTTCCTCAAAATCATTTTTGGCTTTTCTTATTATGTTTTTACACTTAATTTGGCAGTGTTTATGTTCCTTTCTATTTATTTCACTAGTATTGGACTTCCACTTTTTAAAAGACTCCTTTTTATCTCTGACTGCTTCTTTTACACGGTGGTTAAGCCATGGTGGCTCTTTTTTAGATCTCTGACTATGTTTTTTAATTTGGGGTATACATTTAAGTTGGGCCTCTATTATGGTGTCTTTAAAAAGTTTCCATGCAGCTTGCAGGGATTTTACTCTAGTCACTTTACCTTTTAATTTCTGTTTAACTAATCTCCTCATTTTTGCGTAATTCCCCTTTTGAAATTAAATGCCAGAGTGCTAGACTACTACGGTGTTCTTCCCACCACAGGAATGTTAAATGTTATTATATTATGGTCACTATTCCCAAGCGATCCTGTAATAGTTATCTCCTGGACCAGATCCAGCGCTCCGCTCAGGACTAAATCGAGAATTGCCTCTCCCCTTGTGGGTGCCTGTACCAGCTGCTCCAAGAAGTAGTCATTTAAGGCATCAAGAAATTTTATCGCTGCATCTCGTCCTGAGGTGACATGTACCTAGTCAATATGGGGATAATTGAAATCCCTCATTATTATTGAGTTTTTTATTTTGATAGCCCTTCTAATCTCCCTTAGCATTTCAATGTCATTATCACATCCTGGTCAGTTGGTCGATAGTACATCCCTACTGCTATATTCTTATTAGAGCATGGAATTACTATCCATAATCAACTCTGGATTAAACAAAAACTGTGAATGGCTTGCTAACTATAAAAACAGCTTCTCCTCTCTTGGAATTCACACCTCCAGATCAGCTACTAGAAGTGGGCCTCATCCTCCTTGATTGGATCCACCTCGTCATCTCCAGCCTGATCCTGGCCTGCATATTTATACCTGCCTCTGGAAATTTCCACTACATGCATCTGACGAAGTGGGTCTTTGCCCACAAAGGCTTATGCTCCTACACTTCAGTTAGTCTATAAGGTGCCACAGGACTCCTCGCCGCTTCTGTGGAATATGTTGATTCATTTAAGATTTTTATTTCTTTTGATTCTACATTATCTTTCACATATAGTGCCACTCTGCCATCCACACGACCTATTCTGTCCTTCCGATATATTTGATATCCCGGAATGATTGTGTCCCACTGATTGTCCTCATTCCACCAGGTTTCTGTGATGCCTATTATGGCAATCTCCTCCTTTAATACGAGGTACTCTAGTTCACCCATCTTATTATTTAGACTTATAGCATTTGTGTAGAAGCACTTTAAAAAATTGCCACTGTTTATTTGTCTGCCCTTCCCTGATGTGATTATTTCTTGTCTGATCTGGCCCATACTTTATCATCTCCCCTCCTCTCTTTCTGACTAAAACCTAGAGAATCTTTATCAATGGACTCTCCTCTAAGAGAAGTCTCCGTCTGATCCATGTGCTCCCCTGCACCAATCAGCTTTCTCCCATCTCTTAGTTTAAAAACTGCTCTACGACCTTTTTAATGTTTAGTGCTAACACCCTGGATCCACCTTGGTTTAGGAGGAGTCCATCCTTCCTATATAGGCTCCCTGTAGTGGGCCGGAGTGGCCGCCCACTGACCTGGAGGAGGAGGAACCCTTCCAGCTGTCATGTTGGGCTGAGACTAACCCCACCTGTCACCTGACTGGAAGCCAAGGAGTGGGCCCAGAACTATAAAAGCCCAGGCAGCAGCTTCAGTCAGGGCTGAGCCTGCCAAGAGACTAGAGGCATCCCCTGGACTCCCAGCCTGGGGAGTGGGAACTGAGGCCTGGCCAGGGCCTCCTACCTGCCAGGGCCAAGAGGCAGACTACCAGCTCCCTGCCTGAGAGGTAGAGGCCCGGTTCAGCCGGCCTACCTTCCCAGAAGTGGCTGAGGACCCAAAAGGCCAGCCTGATCCTGTGCTCCAGCTCCTGCCCAGGAACCAGGAGAAGTGGCCCCAGCTACCTCAACTGGAGGCATCGCTTGGGACTCCCCCGGACCCTGACCCTGAGGCCTGGCCCAGCCGCCCAACACCACCGGCACCAGGAGCCCAGCTGAGCCCCACTGACCTGCAAGTGGCGAAGACCTACCCTGGACTCCCTGTGTGCACCACTGGAACTCCAGGTACTGTCTAAGGGGGAGTACAGAAGTGTCCCAGGGATTAGTGGGGGCTGTTAAAGGCCCCAAGGCTGGCGCGTTTTGGGCTGGAGCTCCCGCTGAGCTGTAGCAGCCTGCATTGCTGCTCCTAGGGCACTGGGCCGGGGTGCAGTGGAGTGGGCAGGCCTGCGCCCCTCTCCCCCCCGCCACCCACCTGCTGGGTCGCAGTCTCCCCCCTCACCACTGCCACAGGCAATGCAATCCTCCTGAACAAGGAGCCTGTAATCCTCTTGAACAAGGAGCTCCCAACCTGCTTTTGTTTGTTGCCCGCCCGGACTGAGGGCCAGGGCCTTCCCAAACTGACTCTGTGTTTGTTTTCTGCCATGCACTGAACCAGGGCCCGGCTCACCCTTAACTGAAAAGGTTTGTTTGCTGCCACACCCCGAACCAGAGACCTGGCCTAACTAACTGCGACTGTGGGCTGCCCCACCCTGAACTAGGGCTGGACCTATCTGTAACGGTGTTTGGTTGTGGGCCCGCCCTGAACTCGGGCCTGGCCCGCCTGTAAACTTCACTCTGGTGTGCCTGTTGCCACACCCTGCACCAGGGCTTGGCCAAACCCCAAATGGGCTTTCTGAACTGGGGCTTGCTTTAAAGGGGCAGTGTAGTGGGCCGGAGTGGCCTCCCACTGACCCGGAGGAGGAGAAACCCCTCCGGGCAGGCAAACTGACTACACTCCCCCTCTCCCAAAAGTGTCCCCAGTTCCTAATAAATCTAACCCCTTATCCCTACACCATCGTCTCATCCACGCATTGAGACTCTGAAGTTCTGCCTGCCTACCTGACCCTGCGCATGGAACTGGAATCATTTCTGAGAAATTTAGAGGTCCTGGATTTCAGTCTCCTTCCTAGCAGCCTAAATTTGGCCTCCAGGACATCTCTCCGACCCTTCCCTACTTCATTGGTACTCCCTACATGTACCAAGACCACCAGTTCCCAAGAATCTAAAACATTAAGTGTTAAGCATGATAAAAAGTAACTATTTCCACCAGTTCCCAAGAATCTAAAACATTACGTGTTAAGCATGATAAAAAGTAACAATATTTATTTTATGTTGTTTCATAGATAGGAGTTGGGTAGCTATCTCTGGTGTCTCATTGAAAATGTCCTTTATTAGTTGCTATTTACACTCTTCAAGTCTTAAAACACAAGTGCACTTTCACAATTGCACAGTACAGCAAGGTTCATATCGTAGTTGGGCTCTCACTTCACTTCATTCTTATCTCATTGGCTGGCGATGTCCTGGCCCTTGTATATCACAAGGGCATGGTTAACCGCGTTCTAGTAGGTTGGAGAAAAATGTAGTTCTCAAAGTCTGGAATGTTCCAAGAGATTGTATAAAAGTCTAGAACATTCTAGGAAGTTAGTGAAAAATAAATCCACATACCTGAATATCTGAAACATTTTTCTTCAAGCATTCTGTTTTCCATTTTGTCACTAACAACAAAAACACCACCTCAAGCCTGGTACCCTCCCAAGCCCGGCACCCCACACAAGTTACCTGGGTTGCTTGCCACTAACATTGGTCCTACAGTACTTCCAATGTGACCTGGGGCAAGTCTCTGTGCCTTGGCTCCCCATCTGTAAAATGTAGAAAATTATTATATCAATTATAGTATAAAATTATGGTATTTATTTGTTCTCCTTAGGATAAGAGGTTCAGATACTGTGGTAATGCAGGCCATATAAGTACTTAAGATTGAAATCAACCTAGACAGAGTTTCTGAATGGTACTCTTAGTTATCCTTGCACATATACAATTGCATACTAGCAGGACCGTACTGTCTA